ATCTCAATGTACCTTCGTGTATATATATAAATAAAATAAAATAAAAATAAAATAGATTGCTGCTCGGCCTGCTCTGTCTATCTGTTGATACATGTTTCTTTATGGACTGATGAAAAGAACTTACTATATACATGCCATGTGAAAACTCTTCAGGTGTGGCTCGGGTATGTCTAATTTGGTAGTGCTCTCATCTCTGTATACGCTGTCCAGGATAATTTCTATGGAGGTGTCGACCGGGACGTTGGTAAATAGGGATCTGACGTCTAGTGAAGCAATAATTTCTTCGGGCTGTGTAGTCTTCATTATTTTAAGGAAATCTGCTGATGATTGTAGAATGTAGAATGGCTTGGAGTGTATGAAGTTAGGAGTTCGTTTAGTCTTTTTGCCAGGTGGTAGGTTGGAGTTCCAAGGGATGTCATAGCCGGGGGAAGGGTTGTAGAGAAAGCTCCCACAGCCTGTAAAGTGCCTCCTGATGGCGTGCATCTAAAATAGCCTCTGACAACCAAGTCCAGCTCCTGGCCTGCACGTGTGGCTTAGCCTCTAGGCCTGGCGGAACTGCTTCCACCAACAGGAGAAGGAGCGAAGGCGACGCCTATGCACCAACACTGACTTCCTCTACCGAAGCGAAGAACGAGTTCATTGATGACCTCGGCCTAGCCTGTTCCGCATTCGGCCTGACAATCAACCTAAAGAAGATACAGGTGATGGGACAAGATGTCAATGAGCTACCCTGTATAAATATAGCAGACTATGTGCTGGAGGCAGTTCACGAGTTTGTGTACCTGGGCTCCACAATCTCAAACACCCTTTCCCTGGACACTGAGCTCAACAGGCATATCGGGAAGGCTGCAACAACACTGGCCAGGCTTACAAAGTGCATTTTGGAAAATGCCAAACTGACAGTGCACACCAAGGAACAAGTCTACATGGCATGTGTGGTGAGTACACTTCCCTACACTATGTACTGTGCCTGATAGCTGGGTGGACAGCGCCTCGGATTCGTAGTCCTGAGGTTCTGGGTTCGATCCCCAGTGGAGGCGGAGACAAATGGGCAAAATGTTTCTTTCACCCCTGATGCCCCTGTTACCTAGCAGTAAATAGGTACCTGGGAGTTAGACAGCTGCTACGGGCTGCTTCCTGGGGGTGGAGGCCTGGTCGAGGACCGGGCCGCGGGGGACACTAAGCCCCGAAATCATCTCAATATAACCAATATATAACATCTACGGCTCGGAATCCTGGACCCTGCGCTCTCGCCAGGGGAGACGGCTCATTACCTTTCACATGAGGAACCCAAGAAGCATCCTTGACATCACGTGGAAAGACCACGTCACCAACAACACAGTACTCGAGAGAACAGGAGTCCCTTCAATGTTCATTCTCCTGAAGCAGAGTCACATGTGTTGGCTGGGACATGTCACACGCATGGAAGATGGCCACATACCGAAGGACCTCTTGTATTGGCGTTAGGAAGGAGACCCACCGGAACACCTCAGCTGCATTTCAAAGACGCCTGCAAACGCGACCTCAAGCAGATGAACATCGACATCAACACTTGGGAGGCAGCAGCTGCGGACAGATCTGCCTGGCGATGCAAAGTGCAGAAGGGACTCCAGCAATACGAAGATGAACTGAAAAGGCAGGCGGAGGATAATAGACTTCAGAGGAGGTTTCGACCACTGTCAGACGTACCCGCTTCGGTGTTGATCTGCGCTCGCTGCAGTCGCGACTGTCATTCTCGGGTTGGCCTTCACAGCCACAGCAGGCGTTGCATCCAAGTAGACTACAACAGCTACACACCCAGGGCAAAACTCCATAACCTCATGGGACTGACGGATGCCTACTAATATGTTGGAGTTGATATTTGACTGATTATTGGGCGCAGTGGGTTACCTGGTTTACGTATCTCGACATTGCCATAGGAATATACTAGGCTATAGTCGCCTTGGAGTTTAACGAAGTGAACATCACCACCATTCTTTGCGATGATTGCGGTAGTAGTTTTGATCACTTTGTGATTAAGGTCTTCCTAAGGGTTCCTCATGATAAGCTGAAATTTAGTGTCGTCACTAAGGATGTCGCTGATTTTATTCATGTTCTTCGGTTGGTATCAACACACATGCTGCTGTCTTGTCGGCTTTTCTTATTATTACACCTTCCAGATTTTTAAATTGTTTTGCTGCTTCTTTGTGTCGTGGATTCAGGATTTTCGATGAGTATGTCGCTCGTTTTTTCCCCGCCTCTGCTAGTAGTTCAGCCTGAAGTGTGTCAGTGGTGGGGACTTTTTTATCGTCCTCTAGCTTGTGGATGTCGTTTAAAAATAATCGATTTCAAGGTGTTTTTGTTCCTTTTTTGGTTTTGATTGGAAGTGACAGGTTATACCAAGACTCAAGACTCATCTGTGAGCCAAGATGGGGCTCAGTGGTAGTGTGTGAACCAAGATGGTGCTCAGTGCTAATGTGCAAACCAAGATGGTGCTCAGTGCTAGTGTGCAAACCAAGATGGTGCTCAGTGCTAATGTGCAAACCAAGATGGTGCTCAGTGCTAGTGTGCAAACCAAGATGGTGCTCAGTGCTAATGTGCAAACCAAGATGGTGCTCAGTGCTAGTGTGTGAACCAAGATGGTGCTCAGTGCTAATGTGCAAACCAAGATGGTGCTCAGTGCTAGTGTGTGAACCAAGATGGTGCTCAGTGCTAGTGTGCAAACCAAGATGGTGCTCAGTCCTAGTGTGCAAACCAAGATGGAGCTCAGTGCTAGTGTGTGAACCAAGATGTTGCTCAGTGCTAATGTGCAAACCAAGATGGAGCTCAGTGCTAGTGTGTGAACCAAGATGGTGCTCAGTGCTAATGTGCAAACCAAGATGGAGCTCAGTGCTAGTGTGTGAACCAAGATGGTGCTCAGTGCTAATGTGGAAACCAAGATGGTGCTCAGTGCTAGTGTGTGAACCAAGATGGTGCTCAGTGCTAATGTGCAAACCAAGATGGTGCTCAGTGCTAGTGTGTGAACCAAGATGGTGCTCAGTGCTAGTGTGCAAACCAAGATGGTGCTCAGTCCTAGTGTGTGAACCAAGATGGTGCTCAGTGCTAGTGTGTGAACCAAGATGGTGCTCAGTACTAGTGTGCAAACCAAGATGGTGCTCAGTCCTAGTGTGCAAACCAAGATGGTGCTCAGTGCTAGTGTGTGAACCAAGATGGTGCTCAGTGCTAGTGTGTGAACCAAGATGGTGCTCAGTGCTAGTGTGTGTGAACCAAGATGGTGCTCAGTCCTAGTGTGTGAACCAAGATGGTGCTCAGTGCTAGTGTGTGAACCAAGATGGTGCTCAGTGCTAGTGTGTGTGAACCAAGATGGTGCTCAGTGCTAGTGTGTGTGAACCAAGATGGTGCTCAGTCCTAGTGTGTGAACCAAGATGGTGCTCAGTCCTAGTGTGTGAACCAAGATGGTGCTCAGTGCTAGTGTGTGAACCAAGATGGTGCTCAGTGCTAGTGTGTGAACCAAGATGGTGCTCAGTGCTAGTGTGTGAACCAAGATGGTGCTCAGTCCTAGTGTGTGAACCAAGATGGTGCTCAGTGCTAGTGTGTGAACCAAGATGGTGCTCAGTGCTAGTGTGTGAACCAAGATGGTGCTCAGTCCTAGTGTGTGAACCAAGATGGTGCTCAGTCCTAGTGTGTGAACCAAGATGGTGCTCAGTGCTAGTGTGTGAACCAAGATGGCGCTCATTTATATATTCATTTAAACTTCCTCATTTATTTTTCAGAAATAATTTTATATAATGTTTTATATTAGTGAATTTAACTCATTTTAAAGTTTTTTGACAACTGTCTGGCCATCTCATGGGAACAGTTTACCTAACAGTAATTATAGGCTCGGCCTGACATAGATTGAGCTACACACATTACAACATTAAATTAAATTAGTGTCTCGATATTGTGTGAGTGCTGCTGTTAGATCAGGTGAGCTGTTGGTGACAGAATATGGTTATGGTAATGGTGGCTGTGATGGCATTAACTAGGGGTCCTGACGGCTTAGTGGACAGCGGTTTGGATTCGTAGTCCTATGGTTCCGGGTTCGATCCCGGCGGAAGCAAATGGGCAGAATTTTTTTTTCACCCTGAAGCCCTGTTTACTTAGCAGTAAATAGGTACCTGGGAGGTAGACAGCTGCTACGAGCTGCTTCCTGACGATGTGTAACAAAAAGGAGGCCTGATCGAGGATCGGGCCGCGGGGACGCTAAGCCCCGAAATCATCTCAAGATAAGATAGGGCTGCGGGAGAACCCGCTTATTGGTGTCTCCACGGGTATGGTAACATCTCCTTTATTTGGGTATGGCAACACCTTCACCCACCTAAAGTGTTGGGTATGGCAACACCTTCACCCACCTAAAGTGTTGGGTATGGCAACACCTTCATCCACCTAAAGTGTTAAGTATGGCAACACCTTCATCCACCTAAAGTGTTAAGTATGGCAACACCTTCACCCACCTAAAGTGTTAAGTATGGCAACACCTTCACCCACCTAAAGTGTTAAGTATGGCAACACCTTCACCCACCTAAAGTGTTGGGTATGGCAACACCTTCACCCACCTAAAGTGTTAAGTATGGCAAAACTTTGCCTTGGTTCAGCTGATTATCACAACATCAACACGGATGTGCCATTTATAATGCTATGATTTTCCGCTACATCAATGAATTGAATATTGAGTGCAGTTGTAGGCCTACGTATGATTAATTCTCTCTGTCAATCCATCTCTTCTTGTAGTAGATGGGGGAAGTTTGTTGTAGCTCACTATAAATGTTTATGCTAAATTAATTATTTATGATTGAATATGAATCACAAGATCGCTAGAGAACAAAAGCTTGATATTATCTCCTTGCTGCGTTTCTCATTGTTTTAGGTTCTCGGTCCTAAAGTGGCAGCAATGGACAACTTGAGTGTCCTAAGTTGTTTTAATAATCGGCTTTAATATAAGGTGTTTGTTCAGTGGTGTTCCGTTGTTTTGCTTGCAGTTACCAGGGAGGGAGAATTGAACACGTGTGCGCTCACGAAGACGAAGATGCTGTTACCACAAACTTCAAGCGAGGAATTCTTTCAACGTTACAAACCAGCTTGTTAAACTTGGATGAGAGAGATGAGGTCGTGGTGCAGGAGGTAAGTCAGTCTGAGTTACTGTGAAGGCTAATGACAAAACGTTGAGTTTGTTCAGTTATTACACTGTAGTATTATATGAAAGTAGGTACAATAATAGGAAATGTTTTCTCCGGTATAATATTGGCAAATGTGTGGTGATCATCGACAGAGAGATGTGTCTGGGGAATGTGAGACGTTGTACACCATAAGTCATGAACCCAACGACGATTCCGGCATGATTGTAAACAAAACTAAGAGAGAGTGTCGTGGCAACACCCACCTTCCGTACCTCCCGCACGCCAACCATGCCTTCCACACCCCCACCACCGACCTCCCTATCTTAAGGTGAGTCTCGCTCCCAGGGACCGTCTTGCTAGTCTAAATTATTGTGTTTTTGCATCGTTTCTCTGTGATGAGTAATTATAAACTGATACAGTCAGATCATAATCAAGTTTTCAATACAACAAAATATTAGAGAGCGTCCAACCTTGTGCCAGAACTGTGTTTTTATCTACCCTTGTCACCACTCTTTATTTACTTAAGTAATCATTGTTAGTATTGTTACTAAATATATTTAGACCTGCCACTTCTATCATCATTTGTGATTGTGGGATCATGTGGCTAAGGTAGATATTTTAATTTTAGTAGATGGTCGGTATATTTAAAATTCTATTAAGTTTGAATGGACTGTATAACAAAGTTAATTGTAATCTCCACTAACATTGGGGGGGGGAATAGTGTTTAGTATTAATTCGGATAGTACAGGAAATATAATTATTAATGAAATTTACATTCACGGTTAAGGTGAACTGAATTAATTGTTGGTAGTATTTAAATCCCTGTACTATGAGAATGGGGTTAGTAAGTACAATCCGTCTTATCTGGTCAGATGATTCATAACAGTTATAGCAAGTATGATCAGCGATAACCCAACAAATTAATGCACGTTAACCCGTCCTCTTACAAATAACGTCGGTTTTCGCTCCTATGCGCTTTGGGCAAAAATGTACGTAATTTGAAAAGGAAATATAAATACAAATAAATTTTAGATTTTTTTTTCAAAACAGCATATTAAGTGTCCTCTGGTAGGTTAGGAGGGCAAGAAGTTCTGCTAAGGCTTCAAAGCGTCATGTAAACCGTTAATTAAAAGTTTCCTCTCCTAACCTTACCGAGTAAGCCAGAGAACTCAAAACAGAAAACAGGAATATACATTACTTTCGTGAGCTGATTTCATTTCAAATTACGTCCATTTCTGGCCATAGCGCCGCGCATACTGGCAAAAATTGACGTTATTTGTAAGAGGTTGGGTTGAAGCGTCGCCTCGTGGTTAATGGCGATGCTCCAAGCGTGTCTCAACTGGATACTCCGCCTGCCAGCAATGCAGAGTCAATAGGACCACTGCACAATTTGTGTTAATGTTCTCACGGTTTTCATTCAATTTATTTAGTTATGTTTGTATGCTTACTGGTGTTTGTTTGTCTTGTTCATCACCCATTACCAGTGTTTTAACAAACTCCCAATGTCTATAATTGGCTCCAACAACTAACAACTAGGAGAAGATACGTATCCTGGACCAGAACAGACCCGTTGTTGTCTTCTGCTAACGGCCGTAATTATGGCTTAGGCGTATGTTAAGGCTACCTGAGACTGTGTGTATCAAGACTCCCCGTGTCGTTGGTCAAGCTCTTGTGGTCATCAGTACCAACACGGCCAGTCCTCCCTCCTCCACACTCACGCTCTCCGACACCTGAGAACTAATAGTTATTAAATTAGCAGTTGGGTTGTTTAATTTGAATGATTACAGAATCTGAACTGAATATATTGATTTGTTTCATATAGAATGTGTTGGATCTTATCTCTACTCCTTAATTCACCAACGAGGCTTATGAAACTATGTTCAGTTACTCACTTCTCGTTGTGGCGTGAAGCTGGCTGATGTCACAGATGTTACGTCAGCCCAGTAATATTATCATTGGTATTTTAATGACAGGAATATTTATCATAATAACGTAATTTAATTAGTAACAATTTGTGATTAGTCTTATAAGCTTAACAGAGGGCGAATCCCCATAGCTGTTTTTTTATTCGAAATATTTATTTCTTAATTATAAGTTGGAAATATTTCCCACAGTGATGACACATCTTTATTTAAATTACTTTTTGTTTATTACTGTATTCCAGCCTATCATTCCCATCAGTCCTAAGTCAGTCACCACCAATAAATATGTCCTCGCTTACCCAAATTTCCCACAACATATTTAACATGTCTTTCTTCCAGTGTTTAGTGTTCTATATTAAGAAATGAATTTGTTACTTTTCCGTGTCCTGAAAACTTAATATTTATCACACTTTTTCATACCTGTTCATATTTATTATAGTTGTGTTAATGCTCTCGGCTCAGCAGCACCATCCCAGAGTCTGTTATTATGTCTCCATATTAAATTAGCCTTTTACTGACTCGTAACATGAATGTAACAACTCTTGTATATATCTCAAAAAAAAAAAAATCAAACATAACTGAATTATTTTGAACTAAGAAATCATCTGTCCTTAGGGGGAGTATCTATTTTTTTGGTAATCACTTCAAAATGCACTATGTAATTAGGGTTTTTATGTACTTCCTATCTTTTGTTAGACTAGATTTTATTTGGTTTGATTTGGTTAGGTTAAGCCAATGTAAATTTCATGTATAGGAAAACATGAAATTCTGGCCTGCTTGAGTATCCCCTAGAACTTGACATAAAAGAAAACTTTGACCTCAGGATTTATTAAAGAAAACACATATTCCAGAGACTTAGCCAGTTTTAAAACTTAAATGTTTTCTAAAATGCAGTTATAATTTGAGAATAATGTGTGTTTAAAACACAGTTTCATTTGCCAGTTTACCAATAGACTATTATTGGAACCTTTATAAGCCCTCAAAGCATCACAAATAGAAAGAAAAGTATATCAAATATATATCAAAGTGGTTTAACAAGGGAAGAAGTCCACTCGGTATATTCACTTAATCCTTAGGATGGGCTGCAAACAGAATGACTCATGTTGAAATTGAGTAGCATTGCAATGATTTATTTTGTTTACTAATAAATTTTTAATTTAATGGAATTTAATAAAAAAATCCATTATTTAATGGAATCTAATTTATTTTGTTTACATGTGATATCATGAGACATTCTTTGCTGCGTCTAACACAACAACTTGTGTCCTCTTGTCCTACTGTCTCTTAACTTAAAGGGGCTGTCTTTGTCCATCTTATCCCTCAGTATCTTATAATATGTTATTATAACTATTTCTTCTGTCCTCTAAGGTTGTGAGATCCAATTCCTTCAGCCTATCTGCCCGAAACGCTGCGCGTACTAGTGGCTTTACAAGATTGTAAATACTGTACTATGCTATGTATTCTCACAAACCCAATGTACCTTCTTGTATATAAATAAATAAATATCTTCATAACTTAACCTCTAAGCTCTGGCAATAATCTTGTAACAAACCTCTGCACTTTTTCGTCTTTAGTTTTATGTTTCACAAGATATGAATCCCAATCAGATGCGGCATATTCCAGTATTGGTCTAACAAAAGTTGTGTAGATTGCTTTGAATGCATCATGATTTAGGTTATTGTTGTTGTTTTAGATTCAGCTTCTCAAAACTAAAGGTTTAAGGTAGCACGGGCTATGGTGACCCCGTAGTGGACTTACCTGGCACAGAAGCGGAGCTGACCTGATTTTGGTTTCTAAACGGCTTTCTAATGTTTACGAGCGTCCCATATGATGCCGATGTTACCCTGCCTGTGTGTGCCTCTGGTGTTAGGGATAGAATTATATCCACTCTCAAATCGCTTTCGCTCTCATATTCCTGCATCTGCCTTCCGTTAATAGTGTAGACCACTTTTGGTCTTCTTTCTCCCTTCCCCATCATTATTACCTTACACTTATTAGGATTGAACTCTAGCAACCATTTGTTTGTCCACTTTTGGAGTTTGTCATTCTGTAACATTTTCCAGTCCTCTGTTTTCACATTCCTCATTATTTTCTCATCGTCCGCAAACATTGACATGTATGAGCCCACTCCCTCGGGTAGATCATTAACATAAATAAGGAACAGCAGTGGTCCAAGGACCGGTCCTTAGGGTTACCCCACTTGTAACATTTCTGCAGCTGGAGACCTCGCCTCTGACTGTGACTGTCTTCTGTCCTTCAAGTATTCCCTTATGCAGTTTAGTGTTTCCCAATTTTCCTAGCTTGCTTCTCCATCTTGAACATGAGCCTTTCATGAGAAACAGTATCAAATACCTTTTGACAGTCTACAAAAATGCAACTTACCCATCTTCTTTTTCATGTATTCTAGTAACCTTGTCATAGAACTTTATCACGTTTGTCAGGCATAAATTTCCCTTTCTAAATCAATGCTGCCATTTTGTTACAATGTTCATCCTCTCTAGATACTCAATTATTCTCAACTTTATTACTCTCTCTAGTACTCTGCAAATATTCCTTGCGAAGTGCCAGAGTTCCTGTTTCGAGTGTTGTATTAGGAACCTCAGTTATTGGGTGACATGGCACCTCTGTAGCATCCTTTAGTAGCCATGGTGATATTAATTAAGTTTGTCCCAATTGATTTTGTTACTTTAGTTCCTTCAGGTGTTACTTAACCTCTTCCACTGTGGCTACTATGTCATCCAATGTTTCCTCTGGCTTTTCATCACTCAATGATGGTCTCCACATTGGTTCCATTGTAAAGATCTCCTGGAATATTTTGTTTAGTTCCTCGCACACCTCCTTGTCGTTTTCTGCAAGACTTCCCCCTTGCCTCTTTAGCCCTATTACGTGGTCTTTGAATGTTGTTTTTCTTCTAATATGGCTATAAAGAGCTTTGGTTGGTCCTTAGCTTTAGCTGCGATGTAATTTTCAAATTGTCTCTCGGATTCTTTCGTTAAATAATGCATGGCTCTCTTTAATGTATCTCTATTTTCCTCTGATCCTAGCTCTCTGTAATTTGTCCATTCTTTTCTGTTCCTCTCATATGCTTCTCTGCACTGCCTATTAAACCAGGGGTTTACTTTGCCTTTTTCATCCACCTCCTTGAGTGGAATGTACAGCTCTATTGCTTCTGCACATTTTTTAGCAATAACTTCCATCATTTCATTTTTGTCTTACCTTCCAGTTCCCTCCCCCACTGGACTTCACTCAGATAATCCCTCACCTTACTGTAGTCTCCAGGTCTGTAGTCTCTCATATTCCTCTGTGTGTTTCTTGGTCTATCCAGTTCCACGTGTACTGAACCACAAGACTATACCAGTGATGACGTCCATAAAGTTTGACGACAGTTGATCAATAATAATTGTGATGTTTTCTCCAGGAGCAGCCAGTCATGCCAGATGCAGCGCCACTGGAGTGCGTGGGAGCGAGTGGAGTGCACCCAGGACATTGTTGTAGGTGGTCCTCTAGAGCCTGCTGTCACCCAGTCCTCACAGGCGTCCTTCACTCTCGTCTCCAGCCTCCTCCTTCAGGCAGGTCCCTATGACGTCCAGGACGCCTTCGTGCATG